GTGGACACAGCTTTTGCTTTAGGTTCCTGGGAACCTTTTGGCAGCAGGTGCACTGCTGGGCACTGCTCCCTAAAGGGCCAGCGGGCAGTCCAGTTCTTAGAAATCGAGGGCATCTGTACATCTGGGTCTTAGTCACCCCGTGCGGCTGCAGCAGGCAGCTGAGACAGAGCGGCCTGTGAAGGGTGGAGTTGGTTTCTTGTGGTTCCGGAGGCTATGAAGTCCAGGGTCAAGGAGCTGGCACTGGCTGGTGTCCGGCGAGTCCCGTGTCCTCCGCAGTCGAGGAACCCCGTGTCCTTGCTTGGCAGAGTGCAGGAGAGCCGAGCTGTCCACCACACGCAGGTATAGCTGTGTCCATCTACGAGCAGCGGGTGCAGCCCCCTGCCCTGAATACCTCCCAGCGGCCCTCCTCCCAACACCCCTGTGCTGGCCACAACCTGGGCTCCAGTGCGTGGGCATCGGGACGTGTTCAGGTCCCAGCAGGTTAGAAACATGCGTGCCCTGGGCAGCTGAGCGTCCTGGGGCCGACACACCGCTTCCTGAACTGCGGGCAGGTGTGGGCGGGGCTCAGCCCACTGGCTCCCAGCCAGGCTGACCTGGTTCAGTGTTTCCTGCTTTCGGGAGCCTGGCAGGACCCAGGGAGTGGAGCTGTCCGTTTGCACTCACTGTGGGGGCTGTTTGTTAAATTTTCAGAGAATTTGCGAGATCACTGGAAAGCACAGCTTCTATTAAAAATTGAGTTATATAAACTTACCTTTAAACACGTTGTAGTAAAAGCAAAGGTACCCTCCCGAGTACACCGTTACAGAGCAGAGCAGAGCAAACGCAAATCGAGCAAAAGAAAGCCTCATTATTGGAGTGAAATAAAAAGTGGAGAGTAGAAAACAGTGAAAGTCCCCTAAAGCGAAAGCCAGTTCTTTGGAAGGTAAAACTGACAAACCTCAGTGAGCTGAGATGGGGCGGGGGTGGGGGGGACGGGACAAGGCTCAGGACCGCTCAGTGAAGAGGGGACTTACACGCGCCTTAGAGGAATGAGCGGGTCAGAAGGACGCTGTGAACAACTTGGGCCACACATCAGAGAACTTGGATGGAACTGACGCATGCTCGCTGCAGACACACTGCCAAAGCTGACTCGGGACCTAGGGAGTCTGTATGGACCCACGGCAAGTTACGGCACATCCGCGATCGAAACCTTCCCAGTCGGAGAAGCCCAGGGCTGCACGGCTTCGTGGAGTTTTACCAAACATTCGAAGACATGACAGCAGTCCTTGACTACCTCTTCTCTAACAGATGGGCGGGAACACGCCTTAACTCACTCTCGGGGGCTAGTGTTGCCCTGACACCAGCAGGATGGGCGGACACAGCACAGCGTGACTGCGGTCTCAGGGGGCCCCCAGGCCTCAGCAAAACACTGAGGGGTTTCCTGAACCCAGTCCAGCCACATAACGGGTCGCACCCCACGACCAGGCAGGCTTATCTCTTCAACATAGTGAAGACCAGTCATCACGGCGCACCTGTCAGTAGAGAGTGACATCACATGATCACGTCATACCTGCAGAGAAGCGATTTTTTTCTACTTTTTTTTTTTTTTTTGAGAAGTTTTCGCTATAGGACGCGTGCGCTCGCCAGACAGACAGAGAGAGACATAGAGACAGAAAGCGAGAAATCCCCCCCCAGGGGAGATGGTCACGCCGCAATCCCTTCTCCTCCATTCTCCTCTCGGGATCCTGGGCACGCACGCACATGCACCCGGCGTGAGTTCTAAGCCACCGGGTCCGGGACGCGAACCGCGGTCAACTACGTGGGAATCCAGCAACATAGCCATTACCCTAACTGCTGGTTCCCCAGAGAAGCGATTTTAAAGCCCGGCACCCTTTTACAGTGGAAGGCCTCGGCACGCTAGGAAGGGAGGGGGCTGTGTAACGAGTAACGAGAGTGTCTCCGAAGCACCTGCACTCAGCACGCTCACTGCCGAAGACGGGATGCTCGCCCCAAGCTCAGGACCGAGATGAGGCCGCCGCTCTCCTCCCTGAGCTTCGCATCATGCTGGGAGTTCTAGCCGGACTGCTGAGGCGAGCACCAGGACTGGAGGGTGACGTGCCGTTGCGGGAAGGACACCAGGGGGTGCGTGCACATGGCCGTCCTCAGGGCCGCGGGAGGGACACCAGGGGCAGGTTGCAGGATCAGCACGCACAGGCGCGTGTACTTCTCCATGCCGGTAGTGAACGCCCGAAACAACACTGAGAAAGCAGGAGCACTTACAGTGGTGCACGCGGGCCGGACTCGCAGGTAAACCTAGTGGAGGAGATGCGGGACCGGGCACCGATTGGCGACAGCTGGGCCGAGGCTGCGTGTGGGGCCCCGCCCTGGGCCAGGCCAGCACGTGGGTCCTTCTCTGAGGCGCCACACGGTCACTTCTGCCATGCTCAGCACATGGTCCCCGGGGCTGTCTCTCCAGGACGTGTCGTACGCCAGCACGGACCCTTTGCCAGCTGTGGTGGGGCTCCATGGGTGTCTGCCCCTGAGTCCCGACACCACCAAAGTGCCTGGCTGGAGCAGGTTTTCCAGAAGGACTACCGTCTTCACGGAGGCGTGTAGAACCCGCAGATCCCCCGAGCGCAGGGACGCTGTTGTATCTGAGGGGGATGCAGCCCAGGTCCCCAGTGGCATTTAAAGTGTCTCGTGTGCCCCGTGCTGACAGTGTAGCACATTGCAATCAGCTTGAAAATCATCAGCATTTACAAGAAGAAATTGCTTCGAAACCTCTCGGAGGAAGTCCTCTCCAGGAGACCAAGGGCCGATGCCGGGGCACCGACGCCAGAGGGCTACCTTTGTCTTTCCCCATACGCCGGGGGCAGCACGGACGCCACCTGCTGGGGGCTGGTCACACCCTGCTCCTGCTGCGGCCCACGAGGAGGTGCTGGACCCTGCCGTCGCCTGGGCCTGACCGCGGACATTGGCACTGTCTTGGCCACGGTGAATGGACCCCACTGCCCTGTCCCCGTGGGAGGAGGCTGACAGTGCACACGCCCCTGCTCTAGTTGGCTCCCTGGGTCGAGCTTACCGTGGGCAGCTTCCAGCCATCCCGGCACAAAGCCATGTCCGACATGAGCCACCATCCTGTGGACAGGAAGCCATGGTCAGGGCGTGTGGGGGCCCTGCTATCCTGGCTCCTCTCGAGGCTTCCCACAGCCACCTTACCATTTCCACAGACACCCACCGAGGGGAGCTTTGCTGTCAACCCCTGTCGATGATGGGGCCCGGGGCCTCCTGGACAGGGAGCCTGTCCCGGCCACACAGCTGGAGCGTGGGTTCTGGGTGCTTCAGGTCCAAGTGGAAAGGGCTTCCTCCTCCTGAAGTGCCCTGCAGCTCTGAGCTGGCCCATACCTGGGATGTGGGGTACAGGGGAGAGAACCTCAGCGTGGTCTCGCAGGCCCCCAGGGGACAAGAGTAAAAGGCCTGTGCGGCCCCTGGAATGTGCTGGACACAGAGGCAGCTTGTGACACAGCCAGAGGAGGCAGCCACCATAGCTGAGGAGGGCTTCTTGGAGGCAGTGACATCCAGCCTGACGTCTGAACAGGTGGGTTCCCTGGGCAGCACGTGCGGGGAACTGCTGGCCTCTGGGTGGCAGATGTAGCCGAGGCCAACACCGCCTTCCCTGCCCGCACTGAGGGCTCCACTCCAGCCGGCCTGGCTTTTCCTGTCCACGGCACCCAGAGTCATGGCCGGGCTCTAGGGCTTTGGCGAGTGGACTTTAGCATGGCCACTGTGGGCCAGCCCAGTGGAGCCTGCGACCTGCATGGGCATGTGTGCTGCCCAGCCACCTTGCCCGGGGCCTGGCAGACACCAGGCTGAGCCCAAGACAGGACACAGAGCTGCTGGACTCACAGGCCGCGTCCTCCCTGCAGACCCACGGGATGCCCTCTGGAGGAGCCCAGCTTTGGCCAAGGCCTCAGGCACCGTTACAGCACCAGGCTCAGTGGGGGAACCCATGTCAGGGAGGGCCTCCTGGAGGCAGCAGCTCAGCCACGGACGGAGTACTCTGAGCCGGCTCTGGTCTCCGTGCAGCTGCCTGCCTGCTTCTCTCCTTGACTCCATTACCAAGGGGCCCTGTGGCTGTCCCTCCTGGCTCAGGGACAGAGACGAGGGGCTGAGGACCTGCACCCCGGCCGCCAGCGTCCGCCAGCGTCCTGAGCAGAGGCCTTGTTAGAGAACACGAGACCCTCACGCTGCCCTTGACGGTCTTTCGGATTTCAGACAAAATTAGTCACCTGATGAAACTGAATCAGAGCCCAGGACATCTTAGAGGCAGTCACTTTATTTTGATCTTGGAAAATGCTTCAACCTCATGAAGGTGTGGGGCGTGTACAAGCGGCGTGGGCAGAGCTGTGGCTGGGCACCACCGGCCACCTGGACATGGCTCTGCATGGGCCCCGTGCTCCTAAATGACAGGCCACCTCCTCAGGCGTCTCTCTGGGCCACTGCCCAAGCACCACTCCCACCCCGGGTCTGCCTGAGCATCCTATGTGCTGTCCTTCAGTGTCCCACCACGCTGGGCCCGTCTGGGCCATCGGGGTGGTGTGTGCTCTGGAGACGGGGAGCCGCTTGGGCCTGAGCGCTTGCTCAGGCTGTGGCAGTGACTAGCCCAGGCTGCCGGTCCCTGGAGACAGTCCCTTCCTGTGGGCACCTGTTCTTGGTCCCTGCCTCAGGACACTACTCAGCGCCATGTGAGAGGTACAGGCCTAGCCTCGATCCCAGCACCCCTGGAGTCGGGTGGAAGGGGACGGGGGCTGCTATGGGAGCGGGGGAAGCTGGCCTGCCTTGGCCTCAGTCTCCACGTCTGCAAAGCGGAGGCGAGGGTGTGCCCCCTTCAGCCGGTTTGCAGAGAGGGGACCGTGGCGGCTGGCCCTGGAGCGCAGGCTCTGGAGCACCGTAACCCAGGCTGGGGTGCTGGCAGCCTGGGGCAGGGGCCGATTCTGAGTGGGGTGCCCGTCTGTTCACAGAACACCTGACACGGCGACCCCCGCAGCCAGTGCGCACGGCTGGTGAGCCCCGGCTCCGTGGTGTGCTGCCGATCACATGTGCTCCAGGCGGCGCCGGCCCTGGCCCGAAGATGAGCTCACCACGCAGAGCACGAGTGCGGCATGGTGGGCTGGGTGGGGAGGGCAACGTGGGCTTCACTGCCCACATGCAGCACAGCCTACCCTGAGACGTGGCGGCTCGCCCTGGGCCTCCTGGGCATCTCCCCCTGTCGGACCTCCTGCCAGCCTGTCCTCTGCCTGGCTCACAAAAGAGGCCATGGGGCGAGTGGCTCACACATGGGCCCAGAGAGCGAAGCGGTGCCTCCCCACCCAGCCTCCCGCCAGCATCTCGGTGCTCCCCCACAGCCCCTTGTGCCATTCAGCCATCCAGTTGTCAGATGTCTGAGCATCTTGCTGAGCCCTCTCTGCTCCTGGACCCCGAGATGGAGTGTGGGGAGCCTGGGCCTGTGGGGGTTCAAGGTCATGGCTCGGGATAGGCAGGCCTGGTGTGGCCTTGGGTGTGGTTTGGTTGAGCCTCAACTTTTCGTCTTTCTAGGGGTCACAGCCAGTGACTGGGCAAAGCCTGCACCTGCACTTGGGGAGAGAGTGTATTCATACCCCAAGTCCTGGCACAAACCAATTGGAGCAGGCTGACTCGGAGGACCCACACTGGGTGGAGAGCCTGCTGGGGTTGAGTAGCCCCATCTGCAGGTCCATGCCTGGCTGCCCAGTTACCAGTCCACCTCCTGGCTTGAGGCTGTGCATGAGGCAGTGTGGCCTATAGACCTGGCAGAGTGGACAGTGAATCCAGAGCAGAAGCTCTTGGACCCAGTGGCTTGGGCTCTGCTGCCTCCTGCTGACAGCAGCAGAAATTGCAGGCATACTTAGGAAGCAAGTACATTTCTCCATGCTCGTCTGCGGGATCCCTCTCAAGACCCCTAGAAGGGCCTGAAACTGTGGATAGCACTGAACCCTGTGTGCGCCGTGCTTTCCCTATACACATAAACCTGTAACGAGCTTTGATTTCTAAATTGGGGACAGCAGGAGATTAATGATAACGAATGATGAAGGAGTTGACAGTCACAACACATACTGAAATAAACTTGTGTCAGTGTGGTCCCCCCACCTGTATTTTCTTTTTCTGTATTCATCTATTTTTGGACCTTGGTTGACCATTGGTAGCAGAAACCATGCAAGTTAGTGAATTGAGACCACTGTTTCCTCTCTGAGAGCTGGCGTTGGCACCTGAAGAGTGTCAAAAGACGTCCCCAAACCATGGCCACGTGAACACACCGTGTCTCATGAAGTGGTCTCCCTCTTGCCTTCGGGCCTTCTCTGCTGACCCTGTGACTGTCCATCCGTACGGTTATTGGATTCACACACGCCTGTGTAGACATGAGCAGAAGGCATTGCATAGTTCTATTTAGGACTTAGAAATCCAAAATGGAGTGGAGACGGTGCACAGACCATGGGCAGGCCTCAGGACGCTGACCCAGCCAGCTCTCCCCCTCCCCCAATGTTGTGCTGGAGCGAACTCCCATCATGAGACCTGCCTGTTCCGGAGCGCCCTGCAGGTCAGGGAGGCAGCCTCTCCGCTCTTCACCTCGGGCTTCACAGTGCCCGCGAGCTGTCCGGACACAGCACGCTCGGTGCTTTGCTGCTTTGCTGTGGGATCTCCGGGACAACCACCGCACCATGCCTGCTGTGCTGCTGGTGGTGGCCAGGCGAGCGGCCGCAGTGCCGTCTTCAGTGGGCGTGTGTGCTCGCTCATCCTGGGCACCCACCTGCAGGCAGCAGGGTAGGACTCAGCCCCTGCAGGTCCTGCCCACCTCCCTCCGGGGGACGGCTGCCCGGTGGTCCCTGCAGGCCAGTAGATGAGGCCTGCTTGGGTGCGACTAAGAAGAGCTGGGGGAGTGAGCTTCCCCGCAGTCACCCAGCAGTGGCTCCAGCCATGTGGGTAATTTCCGGGAAACTGCACCCAGCCCTGTCGGGAAGCTCCATGGGATAGGGAGGCAGGTCAGATCCCTGCTTCCTGGAGAGAGGCGGCAAACCCCGCCCCACCTCTCCCTCGCCCTGCAGGGATT